AATGAGTTTTCCTATCGAGATTTCCGGCAGTCATTTGGAAACGCGCTCGTCGGCGATTTACAAAGATTAATGACTTGCGTGAGTGTATCGTGTCATAAATTATATGTTTTTCGAGCATTGATCGAGCTCTTTCTTTCTCTTTCAATCTCCCTCAAGTCTCACATCTTTTTTCTTCCTTGTCGTCTGGGAGAATTTTCCCCAGGTCGTTGAAAAATGGGATCAAATCGATATTTCTTAGGTTCGATATTTTCTCGCGACCTTTTGATATTAATCTTCATGGAGTTATGTCTGCGACAAATGTTCACGAGATCCGTGTATGTATGAGCACGCGAATTAGGTTCTCTTTGTTTTAATAATATTTTGTGAATCACGTTTCTCAAATTAGAACATCTACAGTATGTTCTAAACTAAATGAAGCTGAATAAATGAATAAATTATAATTTACGCAGATTGTATTAATTAGTTATTAACATTTAGAGAACGGGATCTATTTTTATAATTTAACTTTTCCTTGAGCAAGATTTGTTGTAATTCATTATTTCATTATATTTCTTGCTTCAAAATGCGACACTGTTTCAACGCTATTTAGTGGCTCTCCTGTCCTGGAAAAGTTAATAAAGACAAATACTAAAATTACATTGGGATATGTCAACATACAAAAGGAATATATGTGTTCTACTCATAAATATCGTTTAACTTAAATTTACTTAAGCGTTCACTAACTTCTGCACAAGCAATGAGATGGATTTGTCGGGTGTAACCAACGTTTTTTTTCCTTCTGGACAAAACATACCGCAACATTACTGCGCGTTACGAATATATTTTACACAACAATGCAAAAAGTTAGTTATAAGTATGTCATATGCTTTATGCATAAAAGAATAATGATATCTGTCTTCACCCACTATACAGTCGCGCAAAGGTCGTAAGATGGAATGGTTGTCATGTAACGTGTCAGAGGCCATACCGGTTTGAAAAGTATTAACGACCATCACGGTATCTGCCACGATCACATTGTAGCTCTCGCACAGCTCTAGAACAACGGAATGCGGATAGCGTTTCGTGTAGCAGCCGCAAAGTGACGACGACGCGACGCGAGCAGAGGGAAAAGAGAGGAAGGATTATATTCATGTCGGTCACGTATCATAGTGCCTCTCAACCGTGGTGTATCGTGTACCAAGGCGCTCCGATGAAATAAAGGTAAAAAAGGAAAGCGAACAAATGATCATCCTCCCTCCACCCCC